AAGTTTGTTATTATCAAATTTACACTCCATTCACACTCCGTTATAATCTCCATGAATCACCCTTAATCACCCCCAGTTGCACTTGAATATTCCTTACCTGAGTTGAATGTAAGAATTACTTGGACTGTTGTAAGAGAATACAGCCCCATGTTTTCGAATCATGTATGATCTAGTTATGGATTTCCTTTCAGATAACAAGGAATTACAACTTACAGAGAACGTTGACAGGTATGTCCCTGGTGACAGCTGTTGTAGAGACGCTGTTCCTTACGACGCAGGTATACAGTCCAGTGTCCAGACATTTAGCGTTAGTCAGGGTATAGGTACTGTCTAAGACGTCTGGGGTGTTGAGTAGAATGGTGTTGTTGGTTTTATAAAGCCACTGTATTTTGGACGGAGGATAACTATCCACAGTACAGATCAGTGATTTAGATTCATGTTCTCTCACTTCAGCATCTCCTTGACTGTAAACAAGAGCGGTAATTCGAGGCGGAACTGAAATGCAGCAAAATGATAAAACAATTTAAGCATGGACTTAATTTTAAACATGTCATTTTACATGAAGTTAGTTACACTTGTGAAGCACGTATTCAAAGTTCAACATTTTGAGTAAATAATTAAGTGGTCTGGATAATATCAGAAACAAAATGCATGTCCATTACCAAACCATAGGAGTAATCATATTTACATATTGCTTTTGTGGACAGTATATTGCAGTTGTGACAATCTACACTTAGTCATGATAAAGACTAATGACTTCAGAGTTCTATTTCAGCCATCAACTGATAACTGATAAAGCAGTATTTTGCCAGGTATGTTATACCACAGATGTTTGGCATTATTTCAAAGAAGTTGCTGGCAACTGTGAATAAAACACTCATATAAACAATGCGTAAGGTGTTAATCTATATCTGATGTAAAAGGGATAGAAGAGTACCATCATTGATCAAGTTTGAAGTAATCAATCTTCTCAGCTATCAAAATTGGACTTGTATTAAATCGTGTCTGTAACTGAGCATATATGTGGTTACATCACTAAACAATTATTTTATATGGATCGCATACACAGTTACACACTGACAGCAAATTGCTTTCAATCCAAACATCTTTATCATATAAACCTTTCAATTAAAACTTACTTTAATGTAAAATTATATTTAAATGTAAATTCAAAAATTAGCCTATATATCTTCACAACACATATCGAAAACCGAGGTCAAATATACATAGAGTCAATATCGTACATCTGACGGTAAGGTTCCACATCCTAGTTCCTTGACCAACAGTATTGTTGGCTCTACATGTGTATTGTCCGGCATTGTTCCTCGTGGCCACAGATAGACTCAACGGGTTCAGGTAATTCGATCCTAACTTAGACCAGGTGTAGGTACATAACGGTCTACAGTCGGCAGAGCAGATGACATCTGTGACGGTCTGATTTTCAGCGACATCAACACTATCTTCTTGAGGTTCAAATGAAATGCTGACTCCAGGTCCATCTGAAGAATATTAACACCATCTATATTTTCAATTGCTCCTCTTACTTCCTCTCTCTAGAATATATGTAACAAAGCCAGTGTTTCATTATCAATAAGGAATAATGGCTGTTCCTCTTCTAAATTCATTTATTTGTGTTATTGAGAAAGAATGTATGCTGACCTGATAATTAGTCCACTAATTATCCCCTTGGGCACTCAAGTGAATACTGGACACGATTTCGTGCGTTTCACTTTAACTTTGCATTTGTCTGTCCCTTTTCTTTCCTAAATACCATCCTAAGTTCAAATCCTATAATAAGATGACGTTTTTGTGCATTTCAAATATGTCTATACTCACAATGTACAATTACATGTGTTGTTGAAGTCGACTCCCCTACACCATTCCTAGCGGTACATTTGTACGTTCCATGTTCTGACCTCTTCAGTTGTCCTAGTGACAACACAGGTGACACAGTAAAGTTGATGTTGTCCGGTCGTGTCCAGACAAATGTACAGTCAGGTTTACAATCCGCTGCACAAGTGATGTCAGGTAACGTGTCTCCCTCTGTCTTGGTGTAGGTAGTGTCCGGCGGGGACAAGGCAATGGAAGTACCTGGACCATCTTTAATAAAAATATAGGTTTTTTGTTTCAAACAAAACAAAGACCTTGCTAAGGACCAGGAAAGACCTGCATATGAAACTTTTGAGGGATCAATTCAGTAATCAAGAAGGACTGGCAGAGGAAACAAAACAACGGACCACGGATGTTGGACGATTTGAAAAGCCCATCATGGTTGGCTAAAAAAATGTCACTGCTATTTTAGCTTGGTGTTCACTTGTGAGGTCGTGTATGGACTGTTGAGCATAACAGAATGTGATATACATGTTTTCATGTGCGAAGCTAAGAACACTGTACAGTTTATCTAAAATGAAATGCTTTCCTGTGTAACCCTTCAGAAGGTTGACATCAATTTTGAAAATGAAAGTTTGTGATCTTTATTTTTTAGAAATAATGAATAAGATATTTTTCGAATAACCCTTGGTAATTTGATTCTGGAACTAATCAGTAAAACGAAATGCCTGAAAATGTATCTTAGACATTGACAGAGAAAGTTAGTTATCGCTATTTCTTGAAAAGTGCTGAATGGATCTTTCTTAAATATCAATTAAAGGTCTCCATCATTTTTTAAAGAAAACTAAACATATACATGCTGATAATACCATGTTTCATGTATGAAAATAAAGAAGTCACAGCTTTGAATACATTGGGAACTGGAGATAAAAAATGTAAAGGATATTAATGAAGTACAAGCTCTTTAAGCGAAACTTCTGAAGGTAAAAAATACAACGTCCTATTGGAGTTCATTCGTAATTAACTGCTAAAACATCTTCAAATGGTATGAAATGAATAATATCCAAAAATACTAATCAGTAGTTTGGAATGTAAATAACAGTGCCAATAGAGATTTTTTTTAGAAACGGTGCATCATCCAGAAAGGAGAAACGCAGAGTAAAATAAGGCTATTACTTTGATTTCATTATGTGATATCTCCAAAAGATTATTGGTGATTTCCTTTGATCAGGAAAGTAGCTGGTGAGTCAACATTTTTCTTTCAGCATGGGTGTTGATATTGTTTCCAATCAAAATTAAACAAATTATGCTCAAAAATCTAGTTTTCCTATATAAACTATAGCAACCTTTATCCCCTTCTCACGGGGATATGTGAGACACCCTGAGGCCATGAAATTCACAATTTTGGTAAAGCGCCGTAAGATGTTTCCATTCATGAAGAGTAATTGATTCTACCAGATATGGGTCTTAAAAAGAAAATGTTTAAAAAATGAGTCAATTTGATCCCTTTTGGCCCGCCTCTCAGGCCCCTGTGGAGTGGAGACTGTATACTTCACAATTGTGGTTCATCTTAGGCCAGGGAAGGTTTCTGCAAAATGTCATTGAAACCGGATCAGGATTTTTTTAGAAGAAGTCGAAAGTGTTAAATTGTTTACGGACGCACAACACAGACTGCACGACACAGACCGCATGACGGATAAAGGGTATTAGAATAGGTCACCATTAGACTTTGTCTCAGGTGACATAAAAAGCAGATTGTACATACATATATCTAATTCAATTATTATATTTCCACTTTTAACAATATTTTATTAATAAACTGTCAAGTTATATAATTTCAGAAACTAATGGAACCATTCAACACATTAACTTTCCCATATACGCCAGAGAGGTCTCTCAAAAATATGTTTTCTTGAAATAGAATAAAACAAAATAGACTACGTACGTTCTAATGTAACGGTGATGTCATTACTGAAGTCACTTCCATATGAATTGGTGGCTGTACACTTGTATATACCCTCATCATTAGGTTGTATGTTGATGAGATGGAGATCTGACCCAGTTGTGTGTGACTGTCCGTCCCTTGTCCAGCTGTAGGAACAGGTCGGGTTACAGTCTGCAGAACACGTGACTTTGGGGATAGTCTGACCCTCTGTTATTGTGTATGAGTCGGTGGACGGAGTCAGGATAACTGTGGTAGGTCCATCTGAAATGAGAAATTGTTGCAATGGAACAGTATTGTTGTTAGCAGAATTACCAAGTATGAACGAGATACAAGAGGACTGATCAGGTAACAATTGCCTTAACTACACATAAAGCGACATATTTTTTTCGATATATGAAAATTCGAGACATGAAATTTATAAACTATTTCAATAATGTTTTTAGATAGAACAATATTGATACTTAGATGGGACTTAACAGTTTGTAATTCAATAATCATTTCTACAAATTAATGATTTTGAATAAAATTAAAATGTAAGCAGAAATATCACAGTAAGGTGTTTCATCAAAATCATTCAATCAATTATTCCTACTGGAGGGAGAAGGTTTTTTTTATTCCGTCTTTAAGGATACATGCCTCCCATTTCTGGAACCCACCTCATCCAAACATACTTCAGACCAAAATGGAATAGAATTCTAATTTTTCTACAGAAGAATTTACTTTAACATCATTTTCCCCCCTGTGAAACATATCCCTTCTGCTCCTGGGGACCAGTTTTGCCCAAGAACACCTCAATTCAAAGCCCAGCCCCTCCCGAACAAAGGTAGCAGTACACAGTTTCTCGGTGTGGCCATGGGTGATTTTTTTGCTCATTAGATTACCCCATTATAAAGGTTTTAATTAAAAATGAAAAAAAAATCCTTGCTAAAATTGGTCCTGTCATGTTAAAGTGGACAATGTGGGGTTTCATTTTTTTCAGGATAATATTTTAGCTTTGTGTTGGAGATTACTATTTGGGCAGTCTCGAATCTGTGTCTACGCACCAAAAACTAGCTTTACAGGAAGTGAAATTTTCATAGTGTTTACATGTGGTCATGTTATGAAGAATTTCCGAGTTGGAATTTGCTGAAATGTAAGTACTTTGTTACCACGACAGTGTTGTTGATTGTAAGATAGGTGATTAGAATTAAATTTCTCCTAGAAAGTTGTAGTGTTGGATTGGAATTAGCAGTATTTTTGCATTTTTAGCATTTTTTCAGTAGGTAACCATGACAATCAAATGTCAGAAATCAGAGGAATTTTATTTTTTACACAAATTTCATCTCTCTACTGTTAATGTAATTGTTATACAGTTTATAAATATATATACATGTAATGATGTATTTTTCATAACCAATCTGCTATACCTGTATATCTCAAACATGACAAATAATTTCAGGAAAAATGCAAATTAACTGTTTACTGCTACCTTATAGCACATTAAAAAAAATTAATCTATTTAAAATGTGCTTTACTATGTTTAATTAAGTTTAATCCTTTCCATAATTGCTATAAATACATAAAAAACACACTGAAACTTGTTCATAATGATTTTATTTTAATTTCATCAGGGGTGCATAAAGGGAGGTAATTTGGGTGCTCTTGTGGGTGAGAATTTCAGCTGTTTTCAAAAGGCTTGGTATCAGTTTGAAAACTGTTCTACAGTAGGTAACAGGTATGAAATAAGTCAGTAACAACCTTAGAATGTATTTAGACTGCATTATAGGGCAATTCCAATAGTTTAAGGTGTGGTATCCATGGTAACTAAGAAGGAAAGTATGAGTTTTTGAATTTTGGATAAATTCTCTGTTTTGATGATTTTTACTCAATAATGTGTGTGTATTTCTCATAGATTGGGCATACAATCATGTTAATATTGTCATAAAATTACATTTCCATAGTTACTGCTGTAAAAAAGACTATTTTTCGAACAATATTGCAATGTAATAGGGTTTCTAATATTACACTTGAAGAAGGGTGGGGGGCAGTAAGCATAGGTGTTTGTGATGTCATACACATGACATTTAAGAATATATGTCATATCACTGTTAATTACTTTCGAGAAATGTGTCAGATGCTAATTTGAAGTTTTTGTTGGATTTCTAGCCTTCACTATGACATCACAGTGCATTGGTGAAGCCATCATTAGCAATTGATGACGTCATAGTACTGATGACATCAGCTGTTCCCATGACGTCATAACATAAGACTTTATATATGTAGTATCAATCTGCTTTTCAGTTATCTAAATTCACAGAAGCACAAACTACTTGATTCAGTTTCAATTGCAACTTTATTCAAGTAAATTTAAGACTTATTGAGGTTTTAATTTTTCAAATTACCTCCCTTTCTTCCTAATTTGAGAGCAGAATTGGTCAAAACACACCATGCGGGAAAATCCATATTACTCGATAGCTATTCAAGATACACAGTAAAGCGATATATTGTTTTGTTCGTGTGATCATTTTCTAGACACTCAGAGGGATTTTAATGAAATTAAAAAAACTAATTGTGATGTATAAGGTAGCAGTACACAGTTTCTCGGTGTGGCCATGGGTGATTTTTTTGTTCATTAGATTACCCCATTATAAAGGTTTTAATTAAAAATGAAAAAAAAAATCCTTGCTAAAATTGGTCCTGTCATGTTAAAGTGGACAATGTGGGGTTTCATTTTTTTCAGGATAATATTTTAGCTTTGTGTTGGAGATTACTATTTGGGCAGTCTCGAATCTGTGTCTACGCACCAAAAACTAGCTTTACAGGAAGTGAAATTTTCATAGTGTTTACATGTGGTCATGTTATGAAGAATTTCCGAGTTGGAATTTGCTGAAATGTAAGTACTTTGTTACCACGACAGTGTTGTTGATTGTAAGATAGGTGATTAGAATTAAATTTCTCCTAGAAAGTTGTAGTGTTGGATTGGAATTAGCAGTATTTTTGCATTTTTAGCATTTTTTCAGTAGGTAACCATGACAATCAAATGTCAGAAATCAGAGGAATTTTATTTTTTACACAAATTTCATCTCTCTACTGTTAATGTAATTGTTATACAGTTTATAAATATATATACATGTAATGATGTATTTTTCATAACCAATCTGCTATACCTGTATATCTCAAACATGACAAATAATTTCAGGAAAAATGCAAATTAACTGTTTACTGCTACCAAATGGACTGAGAACTCGTTAAACCCCCTTCCCCCTTCATTGTAATAAAGCGTTTATATTGAAGCCAATGCTATTCTTTGTTTTCCTTCATTTCTTCTGTTATACAACTAACGGATTAAAAAGTAAATGCTTACATTTTTTGAAAGCTTTTTAATATAAGATCAATTCGAATATCCAATGGCTATTTATGATCTATGTAGTTGATGCATGTACTGCACTATTGACCATTGACAACTACAATAAGTATATACCGACAAAGACGAGAAAATATTTATATTTAAAAAGGGTTTAATTTTATCACTTACACTGAGTGACTATACTCACACGTTATAGAAACGCTGAGTGTTGAAGTCGACTCCCCTACAACATTCCTAGCAGTACATTTGTACGTTCCATGTTCTGACCTGGCCAATTGTTCTAGTGACAACACAGGAGAGACAGAAAAATTGGTGTTGTCCGGTCGTGTCCATACAAAGGTACAGTCAGGTCTACATTCAGCTGTACAAGTGATGTCCGGTAACGTGTCCCCCTCTGTCTTAGTGTAGGATGTGTCCGGCGGAGACAGGGCTATGGACGTACCTGGACCGTCTGGAAATATAAAATAGACATTTATAAATAGCAACAATTAAACCTTTGAATCACAGTATAAGATAGTATACTACTATAGATTTTTTTTCATGTTGAAATATAAATTAATAACAAAGGACGGTAAAGTTTGAATCGTGCGTCATCCTGATCTTGAACACACCATCGGAATATCAACAGAATAAATATTTCGAAGTTGAAGTGATCGAGGAGAAGACAGAAATTCTAAGACATGGTCATTGTGACAGATTACCTGTTACATTTATTGAATATCTTGATAGCTAATACATGACTATGAAGAGTTCAAATATCTCGTGTCAAAACACAGTTAAACTAGAATAAAATGTTCTTAATCAAATAATCATATAACATAGTACATGTATATGAAACACATCACAAATTACAATTATCGAAGTTTGACTTAAGCATCGTAGGTGGCCAGGAACAAATCAAATCAGTAATATTAATAATGTATTGCTGGATGTTTTGAGAAATTTACATCCATGATCATTCATGCGTTAAAGGCGAAAAAAAAAAAAAAAAAGAAAGAAAGAAATAGATCGTTACGTTGTGTTTCTGCAGAATTTATTCAATGACGACTAAGGGGAACAATGGAACAAAATTTTAGTTCATGAAGACAATCAACATCAAAGCAAGTTCTTGGAAGTTAAATGAATATCACACGTTTCATAGGTATATTTAAGAACATGTTACAAATAGCATTGCTGGTCAATATGAACTCAGTTTTAGCATGACCAGACCTCCAATAACAATATTTTCACATTCTTGTCTAAAATATCTGCCATGCTATGATTTGATTCTATAACAGAACACACTTACGATATACCCTACAATGTAAAAATCATGACAACTATCTTGGATTTTGAATAAGTTAAATGTATATATTTACACCAAAAACATCAGTTGAAGTTGAATCTTATTGTGTTCTGACAGGACTTGTTGGATGTAATGTCAGCATTGGTACATGTAAAATAGCAGAAAGGGGTCGGGGATAATGTAAAAGGAAGAAACGACAGGTGGAGAAAAAAAGGAGGCCATAAATATCTTAGAGTAGTTCCAAGATACGAGGTCGAGGTCCCTAACATTTCAATTGACGACTGGTCTATATATGACAGTGAGGGGTGAAAGGTTGTCAGATACCTGTGTAACCACAACGTATTACTAGAAAATATAGTAACATATATATTTATATATTCAAACAAAACGTATTTTAAATGGAACGTGTAATCGTGAACAAAAGTAATTTTTCGGATTTATACAATGTAGGGAAGTTTTAACCATTACGCACCTGGGGTTGAAATATTACTGCAATAGATCATTGCAACCTGAGCATGACCTTGTGTAATATACACGTAAGCATGTTGATACACACATTCACATTCAGCAAACTTACACAAGAACAAAATGTAAATTTACAGTGTGAAAAGATATGTGCGTGGTAAGCAGTTCATCATTCGATTTTAATACATGTATACGCTTTCTGAACAACAAATGATACTAGGAATAAACAAATCAGTCAATATACATATGCATGATATGTGGCAACGCAATGTAGGTACTTGTGTAAATCAGGTACATTGTACAAAGCGATATGTACCGAAAATGACGATTTACAATTGTATCGAATAAATTTCACTTGTCTGATTAGACAGACAATAGAAGTAAATAGCACAATCATTTGAGATACTACATGTAAACAGATCAGATTATATTTTACGTCAGCAATTGTAGTAAACTTAGGACACTTGCATTCCCTAAATCAGAGACATATTTCAGTAATTAATAGTTCATTACAGATAATGCCAGCAAAAATAGAGAAGTAAATAAAAGGAAAGAAAGAAAATAAGAAATAAATATAATAATTCAGCAAATGTACATAGTTCACTTGTAAACAGGTATTGTACATTGTAAATGGGATTACCAATAAAACCATTTCAATTTATTTTACTGTGATTTCGAAAGGGGAAGAAGGAAAGAAAAAGAGAGATAAAAAAACATCTTTACACCTGTAAATATGAAAGAAACCAGGAATATAACCAACACATTTGTGGCAAGCACAATTGTATCACAAGAAAGGCAGCTGACATAAAGAAAATGAACGTTTGTTGGTAAATAATGACATGTTCAAGTGAATAGTGAACATTACTGTATAGTCTATATACCGGGAAACAATAGTGTTAGACTATGACTGATTATCAACATGGTCGACAACATGACCGAACGGGACGAGGTCGGCCACAGTATGGATGTGTACAACACGTGTGGATTTGTCATTCAGCATCACTTTACCATTGGATGGTCCATGTCTGGAGATTTTGGCGCGATTTTTCCGACTTTCTCGCGTGAAAAACTAACTCACTGCGGTACTTAGTAATGTCCTCGTTTACAGACACAGCAGCGAACTCTTGACAGTCGCGAAAGGCTTTGCTAGATTTAAGAAGCTTAAATTTCGCGTCCATCGATTTGAGCCGCACGATAATTGGTGTTGACTTAGGCGAGGTATGACTGTCGCTGAGCTGTGTGGATTTCCCAACGCGATGGAATCTCTCCATATCTGTGAGGTTCAGTTCCACTCCAGCAGCACTGACGGCAGCCATGACCTTGAAGGTGGTGTCCTCGGTATTTTCCTCCGGGATTTCTGAGAATCGAACTAAGGATCTTCTCCCATACTGTTCAACATCATCAATCATAAGGCGCATGTGATGGTTCTCATGCTGCAAGAACTTAACACGATCGAGTAGGGGTGTAACCTGATTACGGACCTCAGCACCAACCATCTCACTGATCTCCTCCCGGGCCGAACAATTAACGCCTCAACCATCCGACCTATGTTCTCATCCGATAGTCTAAATCCATCCATGACAGAGGGTCTTGGGGGTTCGCTGACTGCGAAGAGGGGCTGGCAAAGCTGAAGGGTTGATAAGAACTATAATGGTTGAACTGGCTAGTGGGAACGTAAGGCATAGTCTTAGGAGTAGACGAGAATGTACCGGAAAAGGAGTCGTCACTTGATAAGAAGGATGAAGACGAAGACGATTTGTGTTGATGTTTTGTATTATCCTGGTGACTGACAGAGTTGTCTGATGATCATAAACTTGTCTCGTTGTGAGTACACGTACACAAATATTGTTTACAGGCTAGTAACAAGCGGTTCAATAACATGTTCAGTCAATACTTCAAATAAATTAATTGAAGTTTGGAGTGTAGCGTAATATGTGGTAATATACACTCGGTTCACTGGTACAGTTTACACTGAGTGGCAACAACAATAGGGCATAACACACACGTACGTATACACCATATACGTGGAGGTCAACAGTTTGGGGTTGAACGTATGTATAGCATCATTAGCGATTTAGTTCACAAAATTCACGCGACATAAAGTGTCAATAAACTTAAACACATCCTGTCAGGGCGCCGTCAGACCTCAGAATGGCTGTTAAACAGACATTTAGATAAAAAAAACTCAGGAGTCGACCAAAGTGGTTGTTTACCTAAAGAAGGGCCGATATTTGATGTACATTCCACATATTCAGTTAATTCAGTTACATGTACATATTTTATCCTTGTAACACATGTTTTCTGTTTCAATTAATGTTTATACTCTTCATTTTGTATAACGTTTACAGCTTATCTAACATTCACATCAATCACAGTTGAAGCATTTAAATTTCGTTTGTGTCCTCAGTACTTTCAGTACTTTGATGTTTTAAAAAAATATGCCGATAAAATTCCTATGTCTATCAGAACGAGCAATGGGACTACTTCGGCAGAATTCTGGTATGGGGTTGTTAATACCGGTTGAACACCGATAGCTCTTTGTAATTAAACGATTGCTCAATGTTTACCAGACTAGCAGCGATGTGATATCGTTATGTTGTATTACAATTATCTGAGTGCTACCGTACTGTTAAACTTGGACATTTTGCGACCACGCGTCGATACCACATCGGCGGGATATCAGTAGGACTAAGATAATGAATAGAGATATTCAGTAGCAAATCCGATCTTGATGGATGTGACAACAATCAAATACCAGTATCATAAATTGAAAAGTTAAGTGTGCTATCTTGGTGTTGTTGAATTTGTGCTCCATTTTGGTCCAGGTGAAGTACATTGGTAATACGTGACGGGGACTTTAGGTTTACAAAACTTTAATATTGGATGGTTATATCCAGAGATGCCTAATATGCCTATCACAAACCCAAAAAATCACAAAACACTATGAGAAGATCTACCTATTATTACCAAACGTTGGTTTTGCAAACATGTTATATACACGAAACTTACTTACCCGCTATATTGAATGTATAGTCAGCACTGTCCAGTGATTGGGTAGGTAAAAGACAACAGTGACTTCTACCAACATTTCAAGTAGAGCATCAACCAGATCAGAATTTTATATAGGTGTTGATCCTTTGGTAAAAAACAATTAAAATGTCACTAATTGTCATGTTAGTAATGTTCACTTACTTGCAACTTCGAGGATGAAATCAGCACTATCCAGTGTCTGGTTAGGTAGGTTGGTGTTAGTTCGTCTACAGAACCACACAGATCCATGGTCTTCAGTCTGTGGCTGCATGATCCATCGGAAAACTGTACCGAGGCCTTCTGACGTTACACAAGAACAGACATCCGGGGTACATGGGACAGGCAAGGCTACTTTTATGTTGTAACACTGATCACCACCTACTTGAACAGCACCTTCTGGAGATGTTACTTCAGGACGGCGGTAAAACCTTACACCCTGGGCCTCCTCTGGTACATCACACGTTAATGTAAACCCAGACCCAGGTACAGCGTACACAGACGACCCCGTCAGTGTGACAGCATCTAAAACATAACATGATATATTTACCTGAATTAAACCACAGGTTTCTAATAAAACTAATTGACTTCTGGTAAATGAATGCCTAAAAAGGGTGTAGAATTTGTTTACCTGTGTGTAGGCATACAGGAAGCACTAAATACTAAATGTTATTTAGTTATCTCCCTTATATAACATACCGAAAAACGTTGTTGTGATATTGCCGGTTTCCCTACTAACCTGATAACGTAAACACCATGATTCTATTCGCTGATACCATATTTTTTTTTTAATTTAAACGATAACTCACACTTGAGTATACTTAGCAATATGCATGCTAATATGGATTTATACCCTTGGGCTGTGCAAATATATTTGTACTGATGGAGCAGTTTACCTTGTGCACTTCTTCTTCTCACGAGTTCTGCATTTTGATATTTTTTACCTACAAACTCTCTTTATTGAAGCTTTGATAGGAATGCCTTTCAGTCATTCAAAATTTATTGATGCGTGAACCCGTAACATTCCAAACGGAAACATATAAAGGCATAAAAAACATATTATTCCCCTAATCCATCCGTTACTATTCATTGTTGATTGCTCGTGTACATGATAAACTATTTGAGTATCTTATGATGTTGAGGTCCTTTTTTTCTTCTGTTTCTTTTCCTTTTACATCATCCTTGAATGACACAGTAGCATATTTCATATACTCAAAAAAAAAAAAAAAAAGATATCGCCGCAAGGTGGCGTGTTGTCATTGACTCATCCAGTCATCATAACGTGGGCGGTGCTAAATGTTTCAACGAGGCATCACAAGGGAAAAAATGACCTATCAGAAAACTGCATTTTGCGTTCAAACAATATATATTTACATAAACCTATACTATATTTCGCTGCGGTTTCTCCAATTGTGTTGAGATTATATCTCCATGGAGGTATGCCACTGGTTTTCAAACCATCAAAGATTAGAGGAAGTGAGGTAGTTACGTCAAGTCTCTGAATTTATTCCAATACTGTGGTATTGAAAAGGCTTTGCTTCTTTCATACAAACATAACCGATAACGTCGATACCTGATAATATCGACCGTAGTAAAATGAAGTTCGATGTTGATATTTTTCGTAGGTCGATATATATCGATCGAACTTATAATGCTACAACTTCTTTTTCGTGGTTTTGTTGGAAATTTAGAAGTGGGTGTGTATAGAGAGGACAAAATATCAAGTCTGAATAAACGTGATATTAATAAATAAACTATTTATAAAATATTGGTTGTTTTGCTGTCATATTGTTTTGCGTTTCCTATAAACAACAATTCCTGAATATTCATGAGTACAAGTCAACAACAAAGGTTGTCACATACCGGTTTGAAGTGTGTAAATATTTGTATATTTCATATAGGTATGTCTTATGTGTATTGATTGTACTATTCTAATTCCGCGCCTATTCTCGTGCGAAACGTTTTAAAAGTCTAAGTAATCTCTATAGGTCATATCGAAAGTAATCTAAAAGTAGATGGAGTCACTGTCGATCTTCCACCTCACTATAATGTAAAGAACAAATAACAATTAATATAGTTATAACTCATCAAAATTAACTAAATAGATAATGAACAATATATCAATTGATAAAGAATACATTAAAGAGTGACGTCACGCCATAATCGGTCACCATCGTAATAAACTGAACATTATCTTGCCGAAAGTCAACTTTTAGTTACAGATCCGGTATATACAAATCCAGGTTATATCGATTTCGTTTAATATGGCTAATACCTGAATGTGATCGTGTCTGTATTAACCTTTCTGATGACTCCAATATATCTTAAATCTGTACATATCGCATTCAACCAGAGAGAAATATGGTTACATGAATAGTCTGATGTTTTATAATTCAGGAATATAAATAATTTACACTGACTAAAACAACAAGATAATTCCGATATGTCAACATAATCATAAGCCAGCTCAAATTCAGTATCATCAGGACAAGGACGATCAAATGAAAGATTTACACGCAAGACCAGGTGTTCCGGAAGAGAAACTGTCTTCTTCTTCATCAACGACATCCGCCATGTAAACCTTGGTCAATTAAAGTAAAAAAATCCACGTTCTCAAATGAAAACAAGGTACACAACAACGGACCCAAAAGGCAAACGGCAAACTGACGAGCATCAAACGTCCAGATTCAAATCGCACAAACAAATAGAATGTTTATTTTAGATCAGAATGACGATTTTAAGTAATGGTGTAAGGTGTTGTGAAATATATTTATAGATAGATCAGTCATTCAAAGAAAATTAATATCGATGGTGATATTAAAACAATAAAACCACATGTACATATTCTATAGATCTGTACAGTTTATATTTTTAAAACAAGGTGTGATTGTCCAGATGAAATGTTTATGATATCGTGGTTACAAATAGATAGACCATTTTCCTGTACATTCTGATTAACAAAACATATGTACATTGTACATGTGCACTGAGTGGTCGGATATAGTGTATGATAAATTGGTGGGTATATACACATTATAATAGCGACATAGTTCGAAAATACAGAATATCCTTACCTGTCGATGTAAACGTTGTCCATGGTAAGGTGAACACACATAGTTTGAATACTATTTGAAACATTGATAATGCTTGTTTCTTCATGTGAATACTGAACACATATGTGTTAACGGACATGTTTTTGTCACATAATACATGTGAACTTCCTGGTCGGTGTAGCCTAATGGTTATAAATAGAAATGGTCGGTTACGTTATGGGCCGATAGTAAAATTGTGTATCTGAGCAATTTTCCGTGTTTTTAAAGTTAATAAGGTACTACGTTAATTATATTTTAGTGTTGTGATCAATAAGAAACCTTGGTAGCGTGTTTTCTCTCAATTTAAATTATATACATTGACTAACATATACATAAAATACGCATAAATTATTGCTATCACAGCAAACTATTAATACATGTCAAACTGGCGAATCTAAAGGTGAACCCGAGAACAGTATTGTTCTGATAAAAGTGTCGTCCACTTTCCAAGAATTCGCTTACGATCGGAGATTTACTGATGAACTACTCATATCACCGTGATAAACCGAATACCATGAAATATTAAATACACAATTTCGGTATAAGATATATTATAAACCCATATATCAACACTCGTAAGCTACAGTTTTAAATCGTAGATATTTTAACGCATACGTCTCATGATTCCGTCGATATACCACAAAAACGAAAATGTTGCCCCCGCGTAAATTCTACAGTATATCAAATTTGCCTCAAGTAACCTCTTTGAAATTAAATATTGTGTTAGTAAGGAGATATTTAATGCTGTTTGCAAGAAATAGACGAACTATTAAATAACCTTAACTCTGACATCAAAACTGCCTTCAGGAATCTAGACGTGAGACTCTGTACTTTCAATAAGTGCATGCTAGAGCAGATTTTGTTCTCTTTTTTAATTTATCACACAAGAATCGGTTCTCATAGACACGACAGACTCCTCTACATCAGCAGTTTTTCTTGATCTTTTCCTACAACGAAACCAACGTGAACAGTTTTCCATTATTTCCATTAAGCTGTATGATAAACGTGATAATTGCAATATCCCTTGTGTTAATTGTCCTTTTATAGCATCTCCATCCCATGGTGTTTACCTGGCGCAGTTAATTTGATATTCAAGAACCTGTTCTCATTATCTCTATTATCTTGCAAGAAGTCGCCAAATGACGGATGAACCCGTAACGCAATAGATGCATTTTGATGAAAATTATTGAAAAGTTTAACGGTCGTCATGGTGATCTCATTGCGCAATATTATATTTATTTGTGTATTATGAAGCTAGACGTGTTTGATGCTCGTACGTTTGCCTGTTATTTCCATTGTTGTATATCTCGTTCTCATTTGAGAACGTAACATTACTTAGATTGCTAGATCAGGATATTCATGACGAGTGTCGTCGATGAAACAAACCGCTTACTTCTTCCGGAACATCTGGTGTTATATGACCTATAGTGGCAATTATGCCCACAACAGTAATGCAAATAGATTAAAAATTAGCAAATTCAAACTGAAAAAAGATATGAAAAAGTATGACTTTATCACTTTATTGTAAGAATTTAGCATTTCATTATCTATACAACCAGTTTTCTCAAATTACCCCATTACCGATAGGTTCATTTTTATCATTATTTTAGACCGAATCAGACACAAATATAAGTAATTTATTTAATTAACATTTACCAACTTTTTTTAAGCTCATTTTCCGTAATTTGTACATGCAAATTTTATTAATGTTGATATCCAGTTAATTATCGAACCCAGTGAAGTTTCTGCAGGAAATATTACACTGGTTGTACTCTCTTTAATAAAGGTTTATCATTAGTTAGTATAACTAGAACTTCATCCCTTTTAGTTCCCCGTTTTCTCGTCATCTTTTATTTTTGTTGGATTGTTTAAGAATCGTTATTCATTCCGGGTGTGGGTTGAAAGCTTTATCATCGCGTGTTATGTCTAGTTGTATACTATAATATTGAGAGAGGGACTAATACAATGATGTATCGTGAATGAAATATTTCTTAATGTAGGAATTCAGAATGACATAGTCATGTACGTGCGGACGTTTATCTCGTTTGAGCCTATTTGTGGAAGTAATATAAACAATTACACCTAACCTTAACCACCGAACGTGTATTTATGCGTTTGGCCAGATGGGAATTCATGGCCTATCTGACTTGCATAGACCTAAACAGGAAATAGGAAGTAGCAATGTGAAATACCTATTGATAAAGGAACTATTTACTATTACCATGATAGCATCGATTGAAATGTGACTCAATGAAAGACAAAATAAACACACGTTATAAAGCTTTATTGCAAATGGAAATTAGATAGTGAATACATCATTAAAAAGATACAAGAAAAAACATAAATATAAAAATATTAGAAAAAAGGCAAGATATCTTTTCCGCGAAAATAGTCGGCCGTGCGTTAAATTTGCATTTTATATGAAATTAAACTCTAATAGTACACATCTACATGTTTTGATATACAGACATGACAATATAAATAACAGGCTAATTATATTAACAAAAATACTTTGTATATGATCACAGATGATTGAACAATATATAGAGACTTTAAGTACAGGAGCCTGACTACCAAACCATATTTGTAGGTAAGAACTATTACATATACATATTATTGATGGTAGTATATAGTTGTAAGACATGAAAAGAAAACAAGCTAATTATCAAACAATGCTAGTTCCATCGTTTATTTTTGGGGGGAATGAAAGAGCCGATTCATGAATGAATGAAGTAAAACATAATTAGCATTTAACATGTGTACTCTAGTTGATCAATCACATTCGTATTTTATAACTTATATAAAATCATATTACTGTATGGTTGTCGGACAATAATACAAAAGTACTTTCCACACCCATTTGTTTCGTTCATCACTTGTCGTGTACAAATATCATATACAAGGTAGATTTTATATAACGTTGTATTTAAATTGATCTGATTGATTCTATGTATTCTTTAAAAAATACTCCACAATTCAAGTCAATAGAGAATATATACTCGAGTATTACCAGCAATCAATTCGAAACAACAAACGTCACCCGAGTTTAAACAAGACAAATATATACAATATCAACCATCTACATTGTGCATGTGAAATGTAAATAAAAACAGCGTTCTTGATCACAACAATATACAGGACCAGGACCAATAAATATCTTGTCCATAGCTGGAATCTGTCATAGAAATACAAGTCGCACATCAAATATTTAGCATGTATATTAAACATGAAGAACCTTTGATACTACCAGAATTCGGGCACCTGATAAAACCCTATATTTTGGGAATCTAGGGTTGTCATATTCTAATCTGCAGGATATTTTATTTATATATGTCTGTGAAAAAAGAACAAAGTCAAAAATGTCTTCTTTCTTTCTAAATTGACACTCTTGATATTCAACAGAGTACGTGATATACACTACTCAATGTATATTCAATCCAATGTTTTAGCACATCTCCATCGATCGTTCCAATATACATACATCCAAATGTTTCAATTGTAATAATGTGTAGATTTACATGAAGTGTTGGTATATACACCTTGGCTTCCTGAAAAACAAAACAAAAATCACGCTGAGTAAGGTTTGCTGAGGGAACGGAAATGAAGGAATTAATAACAAAAATGCCAACATGTTAGCTTAGTCCTAATCCAACCTTGAATGAAATGGGAGACTTTTCATAATGGGGGGTTTATGACCACATTGAATAATTTTGAAATACAATTAATTGCAATGCTTCGTTGTCAGTGTCACGCATCATTCAATACTATCATGTAACAAAACATTTTACCAGATGCAGTGTTTTGCAACTCATCATAAACATTCGCCCTTGACCGCCCTTTCAGTGACTCATAGTTTCTGCAAATAAAAAAGGAAATAAAAAAGAAACGTGCTCATTTTCGATTGTTAAAAAAAATACCAACATGTCATCATGATCATAACAAAAAAATCAAAATTCAATAAAACGTTTACAAAATATTAACAAAAGAAAAAATACACAACACCTCATGTAGCAGTACAAGATGATGAAAACAAGATGTTCCGGAAGAGAAAGCGTCTTTTAATTCAATGGCAAAATACTCCAGGTTAATCGTGCTCAATCCAAGTCAGTAAAATAAGAGCAGGGTATATAACAACGGAACGAACAGGCAAACGTCATCTCGCTTATGGAAATGATCATTATGGCGACTGTTATCAACTTGCGTTCCTCGAGGCCCTGCGATTCCATATATTCCATAAGTATGTTTGAATTCATACTCAGGTCGATGAAAGGGGTTTTTCGATATTAGAAGTCTTTCATTGAAGGTTTCAGTGCAATATATAGCTGAATGTTTTTTTGATAATGATTATGCCACCAGTTACTATATTCTAGATATACCACAGTTAGAAGGAGAGGCAGAATAAGAACATGTCTAAATAGCTCTTAGGTCACTTACATGCAGTTGTCGCATAGTTGTTTGAAATGAAACACTTTGGACGCAACTACAGGAAATGATAAGACTAAAATTTTATATACGATGACTTGTTAGCTTTGACAGATTTCTGGTGTAAATATTCATGATGTTGACAGCAACCTTTCCTTATTTTCAAACACATTTTTCATAAATTGCCGCGAACCTACTATTCGTACAGACAGATTTCCTGGAGCAGTATTCGTTGAATTAATTTAACACTTTTGTAATATGGAGAGAGTTAGTGAATAAAACTTAATTTGAGCAAGTTGAACACAAAATAATTTCGGTAAAGTCTCCTTGAGGTCTTCAATCTTGACTGTGAATCCGATACATGTATTGCAATGCCAGTGTCCAAGGCTACGATAATGTCTAATTTTACCAATAACGTCAGAGTAACTATATCCATGGTTGGAAAAATGTCCAACAGTCCAAACTGTCATAGTAACCGTATTTGGCATTAATACAGGCGTGTAATATATTGTTATCCATGTTGTTTACGCTATCGTGTGCGAAGTGTATGCTTATTAGTAGGGTAGTATATTTTCGAAAGTGCAAAAGATATAATTTTATTCATGTGAATGTCTTTTCAAATGTTCCTATGTA